GGGGGGGTTTCGACTCCCTCACACACCTAGCCATGCGTGGCTTTGCCGTGTCCGGGGAAAAGAGGATACTGGGTGTTTACCTAATGCTAAGTGATTGGACCTTTAAGGCCCCCAGGGGCGGCAACACACCCCTTTGGCCGCGGCTTCACGTAGACGGCACCCCTGGGCTGATCCACCCAGGGGAAATCGGCAGTCGCCTTTTCCTTTCTCTCTCTCCCTACATCTTCGTCTTTATCTCTTACTTTACATCTTTTCTGTATTCTCCTCACTTCATTTTTCCTGGTGGCAAGGGTTACTTTTGTGTATGTGCTCTGTCTTGGGCACAATATAGTTGGTTATGGCGGCTGTGTACAGCTGACGTTGACATGCCTCATATAAATTTAGGACTTGTCACGTCCCCGTGTTGGGCTCCATGGTGGGCGGCTGGCATGGCTGCCGAACTCATATTTAGTTTATGGCTTTTTCGTCTCTCCCTTCATTGCACGATCATCCTCTCTCAAAGAGAGAAGCACCGAAGACTTTTGCAACTGTTTCAGCAAACCGAAAGAAACCTTTTCCCGCTACCATGTAATCCACCGTGAAACTGCTGAAAAGAACGCCAGAACAATTTCGGCTTTCGTTGTTTTCAAATGCGTCACCACTACACTTGGCCCAGGTTACCAGGCTACAAAAATGGCCAGTGGGGATCTCCTCCTCGAGGTAAAAAGTTAGAGCCAGTATGAAAACCTCTCAAAACTAGAATCTGTTCCCTCTCTGCGCGGAGTGCACGGGAGAGAAGTAGTAGCGGGATTATTTCTGGATTTCGCGCATACAAAAGTAGGCCATAGATAAGGACAGGAAAAGGGAACTTGTTTTTAACCTCGAGGTAAATGTATTCGTTTACAGCGTCAATATTTGTTGCTGTTCCCTTACGTGCATTTTAGTTTCCGGACGGGATTCGTTTACACAACGGTGAGCGTGTGTTTGGGTGTGTGCGTGCATGTGTGTGTTTTCCCATGTTCTGCTCCTCAATCCATACTGAACCTTGTGTATCCCAAAGATTTCGTTGCAGTGACGTGCCATAATCGTAATGTTGTTGACTGACGCATGACTGCAAATCCTATAGAGGCGAGACAAATTCAGCGTTTAGTTGCAAGCGCTGTCCCCTACGCATGGTTATTCTTCTATAACAGTCCCAACATATAAAAACAACATATCATCCGCACCTAAATGTGACTTCAGGACTGTTATTTCGTATAGCCCACCTGCGTAGAGTAATATATATATAAACGACAACCATCCTGCTAGCGTATATTTGCGGTTTGGGGAATGCCAGACTTCGCCGTGTAGATCGGTGCGCAATTTCTCATCGGCGACTACCTACACTCTTAGAAAAAAGTTAGTAATCAGTTAGTAAACGCGTGTGTTTATTAGTTTCCGGAGTACTTTACTACCTTCGCGGCATATTTTTACTAGCCACCAACTAGGGCA